AGGGTGCATCACTGAAATATTGTGATATTACACCAACACTGGATATGTGTGAAGTTAAAGGGAGTGGTAGAGCGACGAGGGTGCATCACTGAAATATTGTGATACTACACCAACAGTGAATATGTGTGAAGTTATAGGGGGTGGTAGAGCGACGAGGGTGCATCACTGAAATATTGTGATATTACACCAACACTGAATATGTGTGAAGTTATAGGGGGTGGTAGAGCGACGAGGGTGCATCACTGAAATATTGTGATATTACACCAACACTGGATATGTGTGAAGTTAAAGGGAGTGGTAGAGCGACGAGGGTGCATCACTGAAATATTGTGATACTACACCAACAGTGAATATGTGTGAAGTTATAGGGGGTGGTAGAGCGACAAGGCTGCATCACTGAAATATTGTGATATTACACCAACACTGAATATGTCTGAAGTTGTAGGGGGTGGTAGAGCGACGAGGGTGCATCACTGAAATATTGTTATAATACACCAACACTGAATATGTGTGAAGTTATAGGGGGTGGTAGAGCGACGAGGGTGCATCACTGAAATATTGTGATATTACACCAACACTGGATATGTGTGAAGTTAAAGGGAGTGGTAGAGCGACGAGGGTGCATCACTGAAATATTGTGATACTACACCAACACTGAATATGTGTGAAGTTATAGGGGGTGGTAGAGCGACGAGGATGCATCACTGAAATATTGTGATATTACACCAACACTGGATATTTGTGAAATTATATCAAGCTGTAGTAGAGTGTAGTGGAGCGTAGCATGCTTAATATAAAGCTCCAGGACAGGTGGAAAATTTCAAAAATAAGGAAAAGAACAAGAGTAAGCGACATTTTACAAAAGGTTAAAAAACTTAAATGGACCTGGATTGGACATATTATGAGAACAAACAAGGAGAAATGGACGAAAGATGTTATGGAATGGTATCCTAGGAATGGAAAAAGGCGAAAAGGACGGCAAATTAAAAGATGGGAAGACGATTTGCCAAAAGGATGGAGAAGGCCAGCTCGTGACAGAGTGGAAGAAACTAGGGGAGGCCTATGTCAAAGGACAACCTGACCAACAAACTGGTTGCTGAAGAATACTATCACTACATAGTATAAAACAAAGTCGCTTTCTCTGTCCCTATGTCCCTTTGTATGCTTAAATCTTTGAAACTACGCAACGGATTTTGATGCGGTTTTTTTTAATAGATAGAGTGATTCAAGAGGAAGGTTTATATGTATAATACATGCATGATATAGTAGAGAAACACTGATAATTTTAGAGGTTTTTAATGTAAGGTCGTAAATAAACACATTTTTTGCGCTTACATTGCAAACGCTGGCTGAACCCCACGAGATAGATCAAAATAATGTACTACAGTATTGTACACCTTAAAAAGGTCTACAAAAAAGTCCGCGATGGTATATGTCTATCTCTTAAGGATAACCCACAATAACCAATTTTTTATTTATTTATTGCACTCATGTGGTTATTACAGATGTTACATAAGGATTAGATACAGACACATGAACCCTGAAAGGGTATAGCAATTTAATTTAAAATGTCCTTAATTAAATAATATTAATAATCTACTTCAATTAAATTTAATTAAAATTAACTTGAACATAATTATTAACTAATAATTAATAACACTGATAAATAGCATTCAATAATAACAATAATAATAATTTCAAATAAAATAACATTACGTAGGAACATTAAAAAAAACATAAAAAATAAATAAGGTCTTGCTTAAATTAACTAGGTACTATTTAAAATTGAAAAACTCTTGCATCGAATAAAAGCTGGTCTTTGATAAAAATGATTTCAGTAGTTTTTTAAATTTGACTACGTTTTTTTCGTTTTTTATATGTTCGGGAATTTTATTGTACACTTTCACGGCCATAGCAAAAGGTCCTGTGTGTACTAAATGCAATTTGGAATTTGGAGGGGCTAATCTTTGATGCGGTCTTAATCTACTTGGTCGTTCTTGTTGGGGAAAAAGATGAGTGTGTTTTCTAACAAACATACATAATTCCAAAATGTATATATTCGTAAGGGTTAGAATACCTTCACTTATGAAATATGGTCGGCAACTTGTCCTTTGATCAATATTTACTATAATTCTGAGGCAGCGCTTTTGGAGTATAAATAATTTTGAAATATCTACGCTATTTCCCCACAAGACAATGCCGTACTGGAGCCACGCATTAGCGTACGCATAATATGCATTCAGGGCGGTCTGTTTGTCGGTGGACCTTTTTAATTCATAGAGCGCATACGTGAACCTTGACAATTTTGTAGCTATTTTATTAATGTGATTTTTCCAGTATATGTGAGTGTCTATTTCAAGGCCCAAAAGGGAGTAAGAGTTAACACATTCTAATTTGTGATTTTCAAATGTGAAATTTATTTTCAATTTTTGCCTTTGGTAGGGTCCGAACTGCATCAGTTTAGTTTTAGTTAAGTTAATTTTAAGGTTGTGGTCGGTCAGCCAGTTATTTATTTTTGACAGAAGTTGTTCTGTTTTATTGTTCACTTCGTCATCATTATTACACGGCATCAATACAGATACATCGTCGGCAAAAAGTGTGCATGGGCTGTCTATGATGTTAGGTAGATCATTTATATAAATTAAAAAGAGCACACAACCAAGCACGCTTCCTTGAGGTATCGATTTTGAAACATTTAATTTTGCTGATTTGACTATGAAAATTTTTCCGGTAGGATCATGATGTTCTATTTCCACATATTGACTTCTGTTTTGTAAGTAGGACACAAACCAATCGTGCACCAACCCTCTAACCCCTATACCATACAACTTATTTAATAGGATGTGGTATAATACGCGGTCGTATGCCTTACTCATATCTAAGAGTAGACCTAACACATGTTTTTTACTATCAATTATATTTAAAATGTGTTGGAAGTAGTGGAATAAAGCTAATGACGTCGATTTGTTTTTTCGAAATCCATTTTGGCTATCATTAAATATCTTAAATTTTTCGCAAAACGAGTACAAACGGTTTGCCATCGCCATTTCATATATTTTGGAAAACGTTGTCAATAGTGCTACTGGACGGTAATTATTGGGGTCTTTTTTGTCGCCTTTCTTATGAAGTGGTTTAATTACAGCAAGTTTGAGCATGTCCGGAAATACACCTTCAGCAAATGACTGGTTTATGAGGTATGATAAGGGAGGTGCTAATTTTTCAGCGCATTTTTTAATCAAAGTTGGGGGCAGCTCGTCATATCCGAAACTTTTTTTATTTTTCAGCGATTTTATAATTTTCTCAACTTCCCTTGTAGTGACTTCACTCAGATACATTGAATTTTCGGATTTTTTAACTACAGGTTGGCCTGCTGGTAATCTAGTCGATGAAGCATCAGTATCACCTATGGAGATGAAGAATTCGTTAAAAATATTTGCTATACATGTTGGGTCTTCTACTATCTGTTTATTTACGTTTAATTTTAAATTTTTGTAACCTTTACTGGGAAGTTTATTCGTATTTTCTTTGGTAATTTGCCACATTGTTTTTACTTTGTTATTTGATGATTTCATTCTATTTACATTATTAATTTTTTTTGAAGTATTTACTGCTCTTTTTAATATTTTTTCATATTTCTTATAATTTTCTTTGAGTATGGGGTTGTTAATTTTTGAATTCAGTATTTTAAGAAGTCTTTTATTTTTGCATGATTGTTTAATTCCGGTAGTAAGCCATGTATTTTTACTATTTTTGCTTATTTTTATCTGTTTCTTTGGTATTGTTTTATTTAGAACCGATTGTATACATTTAGAGAAAGAGTTAAAGTTTTCATTTGCGTTCTTATCTTGAGTGATGAAATTACTAAAATCTACTTTAGATAACTCTTTTATGAATTTGTTCATATTTTCTTCATTGAAAATTCTCTTATTAGTAAAAAGTGTTTTGCGGGGTTGTTCATTATTGTAAGGAATATTCACGTATACACCTCTATGATCAGAGAGCCCTAGCTCCTTTACGGTGACAAAATTAGGATGTCTACATTTAAAATTAGTGAACACTAGGTCTATACATGTTTCACTATGACTTGTTACCCTGGTGGGTTCTTTGACGTGTTGATAAAAGTTGAAACTTGACATTAGTTCTAACAGAGTATTGGATAGTGTTGATGAGACCAACATATCTATGTTGAAGTCGCCTACGATTAAAATATCTTTTCTGTTAAATTTATTTCGACTCAGCATTTGCAAGAGCTTTTCAAGGGAGTTGAAGAATAATTCTGGATTTCTTTTTTTATCTGGAAAGTATATAGTTATTATTATTAAATTCAAAGTAATGATTTCTATAGCACAAGTTTCAAAAATAAGTTCTATAGACAACTTAGAAATTTCGCAAATTTCGTCACACTCGATGTCTTTTTTCAGTAATATACAGACCCCTCCGCCCTCGTGGTTGGTTCGGCTGAAAGATGTAGCTAGTATGAAACCGTCCAGATAGAGGAGATCAAGCTTAGGCTGTGTTATCCATGTTTCAGAAAGACATAGTACTTTTATGTTTTTTTCTTCTGTAAGTGAATCGAGTAGATGGTGCTTCTTATGAAAACTGCAGATGTTTTGTGTGAGGATAGTAAAATTTTCTTTATCTACGAAAAAAATGGTGTTGCCTGTGTTTTTCTGGCTGCGATGTTCTATAACTGCTTGTGGACGAGGCATTTAGAACTAGTGAGTCATTTGTTGTCTTTTCTTCTTTTCTTTTTTTCGGAGTGTTAGTAATCGGATCAGGCATTTTGCTATCATGTGTCGTTGGTATAAATTCTTTGCCTTCTATTAATAATTTGTTATTTTTAATGAGAGCTCGATGACCATTTTTCCTAGCCGCAATTAAATTTTCAATGAGTTTCTTTCTATATTTTAACTGTTCTCCTTCAAGCAACTCAGAAACGGCTATGCCGGTATTTTTAAATGCGCGGCGATTTTTAAGTATGAAATCCGTTTGATTCTTACTCATAAATTCCACTAGTAACGGTCTACGACGACCATTTCTGTTTCCTATTCTTCTCACATTTTCTAGGTAACCAGACACGTTGATATTTAGTACGTCATGGAAAATGTATGTAACTCTGTCAAGTAACTCGATTTCGGTTTCCCATGCGTTTTCGTCTAGCCCGTAGATCACGATCTTTTTGTTGGCATTTTGGTCTTTACTGCTTAAAGATCTTTCATGTTCTTGAGTATTTATTGAGTTCAAGCTATTCTGAATTTCTTTCATTTCTTCTCTTAATTTACAACTTCCATTTTCCAATTCTAGTATTTTATGATTTAAACAGGCGATATTTTCTTTCAAAGTGATCTGTTCCGAGATTAAATTATTCGTTGTTTGTGAAAGTTCGTGCTTTAAAGAAGCTATATTTTTGGAGATCAACGAGTTGATATTTTCCATCAAGTCACTCAGTAGCGATTGTTTATAAGTATCTAACTTCTGATCCAGAAGGGTTTCAAATTGGTGCAATGTAATGGTTTGGATAGAGGGTTCTTTAAGAATGTCTTTGTTCGGCTTTGAAGTACTATTTTCAGTGTTAATTGTATTGTCTAAAACACTCAAATCTTCTAAGCTGCTTTGTGTATCGTCGTTGAGACGTATCTTAGTTGTTCTATTTCTTAATGTGATATTATTGACTGGGCTTGTATTCGTTTCAGGTGAGGTCAAAATATCATGGTGCGGGCGAATAGGTGTGTTTGAATTATCCTTTTTAGGTTCTTTAAGACGGCATCTATCGCATCTCCATACTGCTTTGTGCTCTGCAGACATTGTGTTAAAAAATCTTTGTATTGAAACATTTGCGCATTGCAGGTCGTACTTATCTTTGCACTGACTGCATGTAAGGTATTGTCTATTCGTAATGTTTTGGAGACAACCAGCACATTTTAGCGCCATTTTTTGAATTTTTCACCCCACAAATAAGCACAGAATAGAACGGAATAAGCACAGAGTGACCTTCGTTAATCGATTACTGGGGGCAGAACTTTCATGATGACTTTTATTATGAGACTCTTCTAAGCTTACGGTTCAGCGATAGGGCTTGTCGTTTACCGCCGCGTATCGTGGTAGCAGCCACGCTGTAGCTCAGCGCGTAGTATGACTCGGATGCAAAAGCATTGACTCACCGTCACGTGATACACCACTGACCGCTGCGTCGAGCGCTTTGAAATTGCAACGACTTATTTAAATGTACGTTCACTTTACACTGTCACAGTTCTTCAGTTTTAAGCAAAATCGTAAATCTGTTTGCGGAAATGCAGCCTTGATGTTTATGGCTTTGTTTTGATACCAATTAAAATTTAGAACACGCAAAATATTCACTAGTTTATATTTTTTAAAGACGGAGAGCTAGCGGGACGGTGTTTACTGTTTGCCGTTCGGCCGGACGATTCCATTTTTATCCTATACTCTTTACGAGAAATAATAGATTATTTACGAAGCGATTTTAAGCAATATAACATTCATCCTTATCCAATTAAGTACCTTAAATACATTGTGCATTTAATATAGAACAAGTTGGCCCTTTAACGCATATAATTTAAATGAATATTTTCGAAGATATTACAAATTTAAAATTCAGGGACATAGCGGTTCCGACGCTACCGGGCTTGGCGGCGCGTGCCTATTGTAATTGGGTATTAGAAGAATGTCATCTTCTCTACTATATAAAAATAAGTCGGGTTTTCCTTCCTGACGCTATAACTCCAGAACGCACGAACCGATTTCCACGGTTTTGCATTCGTTGGAAAGGTCTCGGGCTCCGTGAGGTTTATAGCAAAGAAAATCTACTATATAAAAATAAGTCGGGTTTTCCTTCCTGACGCTATAACTCCAGAACGCACGAACCGATTTCCACGGTTTTGCATTCGTTGGAAAGGTCTCGGGCTCCGTGAGGTTTATAGCAAAGAAAATTCAGGAAAAATTAAAAAAAAACTTCTTTTAATCACCAAACGAAATGTTACATAAAACGAAGCCATCTGGTGGCGAAACGGAGTTCGCCGGGTTTGCTAGTTGTGTATAATACAAGCCTGAGAACAAAAACTATAGTCTACACTACAGCTTTACACCGAAGCGAAGCGAGGGCGGGCCACTAGTTAAATATAATATACTTTTTTATATAATATTTAGATTTAAAATCCATAGCATATAAGTCAAACTGTATTTGGTCAGTGAATAAAGGCTTTTATTATTATTATATTATTATTATCAAGCTGTGGACCAGTAACGCCTGTGAGACATGATTATGATTACAAGGTGAGTACTTATCAGGAGTAGGCAGAGCGACGGGGGTGCATCACTGGATTATTGTGACATTGTAGTTTATTCTAAACTGTGGGCCAGTCCTGCCTAGTATCCTTTACGAACGCTAGCGGGACATGATAATAAGGTGCGTATGTAGGGGGTGGCACAGCTACGAGGGTGCAGCACTGGAATATTGTGACATTACACGAAATCTGGATATTTGTGACGTTATACCGAGCTGTGGACCAGGAACGCCTGTCAATTGCTGTAAAATTAAGCTAGACACGATAACAAGGTCAGTACTTAATAAAACCGTTAAATGAGACGTGCGCAGGCGCGACAGTCGCATACACAAGCGAGTTTGCAATTTGTGTCGATTCTACATTAGCCGAAGGAACTTCGTTCCTACCTGGTGTCCCACGACACCACATCATTTTTTTCAAGTTTCCATACAAAAATTTGAGATTGACATTTCGCATTCGCAAACTATTCGAATTCGATATTGGTTCGTGCTAGGGGTACAGATCTTGTTGAATGCATGATGAGCATTAATTTATAAAGAAAATATATAATGTTTTATTTACTTTGTTCACGATACAATCGATTCAAAAGAAGCGCCAATCAGTCATCGGCAACGTTCGGGCACATTCGTAAAACCCGACTAAAATTATATATAGCGATTTAACTCGGTCGTATTATCTTTATGTCAATTTGTTAAGAAAAAACAACTGATTTTAACCTACCGATGTTAAAGTAAATTTTCATTGAAAATCAACATCTTTTATTTATTGCCGCTGCAATCTTCAAAGTTGCGACGACATTTCGCACCTTTATTCAAAAAAAGAAATAACTCGAAATTTCCATTTTTCGGGTTTTCGGCATAAAGTGAACTAACTAATTAGAGTCAATGCGCTCAGTTCAACAGCCGTTTCGATACGATGAAAATGAAAGAGATAGAAGACCATCGTTCTCTTTTCTACAAACGGGTTAGCACAAGTCGATACTAAATAAGTGATCGAATTCAGTTTTACGCCGGCTTCGTTGACAGTAAGGTCTCTAAAGATTTTTGGAAAAACGTAATAACTCTAAATATAGCGGTGTTATACTATCAGTTAAGTATTTCTTGTTGTTAAAAATTAAAAAAAAAGTGTATATCTTGAGACTTAAATCTGCTTAATTGAAAAAACGCTCATATTTTTAGAGGTTCATTGGGATTTGTTACAGTTCTCTATAAAATATTCAGGTGCGATTTCTGTAGCATTTCGAGTTAATGCACTTTTTTATTAAATTATTTAAAAAAGCTTTAGATAAATAAGTATTGTTTCAGTATTATAGTATTGAATTTTTAGAAACTTGGTACGTTTAGTTTTGTTTCAGTTTATTATTTACTACTTAAATACAATGCAAGTGTCTTCGAGAGTTATTTTCCTTTTTAATGAAAGAAGTTAAAAATATATGCGTAATTATTAAACGAAAATTAAATTAATAATTGTTAATTATACCCTATTAAGAATTTAAAGTAGCTACTATACATTATTCTGTTTCAGCTTTTAAGATGGCTTCGAGGGCACGAAGAATATTGGGTTTATTTGTTAAAAGTACAGTTGTGGAAGATAAAGATAGTTCTTTCAGTTATAATTCGAATAAAAATAACAATTAAGATTCTAATCTCGAGGTGACTTTATTTAATACTCTTACGTATGTAACTATTAATTAAGTGGGTACATTTAATTTTAAAATTATTAATTTCCACTTATCCCTGAACAAGATTAACTTTGATAAAGCATAATTGGTTTTAACAGTAAGTACAATCCGACTAAATGTATCTTTAAACTCGTGTCGTCAAATACAGTACGTAAATATCAAAGTAAGTAATAAGAACAAAACAGCAAATTGATTCTAGTATTATTTATTATATAATATTTTTGATCACAGTATTCACAGCGTGAAATAAAACAACCCAACATAATATTTTTGATCACAGTATTCACAGCGTGAAATAAAACAACCCAACATAAGTCTAGTATCTTACTATGACAGTGATATTACCATATAAGATAATGAAGATCAGACACAATGCTTCACTACAGAAGCAGAAAGTTATAATAAAGAATTTCGTGTACGTCATCTGTCGTCTGCAAGGTGCTCGTCATCTATATATTCGAGGTCACTCTCTTCATGTTCAAACACATCTTCTCCCGATACTTTGGCCAGTTTTGATGTAAATAATTTAAATAAAGCAAACTATTTACAATATAATAACTCTGGACACAATGACAGTCATGACTATAAATGAAACCGAAGAAGCGTGTTTACCTGCAATTGAACACACTCCCCCGCGGCATCATCATCATCAACAACCTATCCTAGTCCACTGCTGGACATAGGCCCCTTCAATTGCACGCCACTCAGATCGATCTTGGGCTACTCGCATCCAGCTCCTGCCAGCCACCTTGCGCAAATCGTCACTCCATCGTGCCTGAGGACGTCCTACACTACGTTTGCCTAGACGCGGTCTCCACTCCAGAACTCGTCTACCGTTGGGGTAGACGAGTTATCGGTTATCGGTTCTTCGGCAAATATGGCCACTTCAACTTGCTAATCCGGTGGGCTATGTCGATGACTCTGGTTTTCTGTCGGATTACCTCATTTCTGATGTGATCCTTCAGAGAAACGCCGAGCATAGCCCTTTCCATAGCGCGCTGAGCGACTTTGAACTTGTTCACGTCTCGGCTCCGTATGTCATCACAGGTAGGACGTCTTTCGTCTTTAGGCACTGTGGGTACGACGATGTCAGGACTTGACGTAGTTTCCCAAATGCTGCCCAACCTAGCTGAAATCTTCTATTCACCTCGTCCTCTAAAGTTGTTTCTACTTAACTGCAATGTCTACCCGAGGTATACATATTTTTGAACAATTTCGGGAGTGGCAACGTGTATTGCAATCGGTTCCGGTAGAACATGTTCATTATACATGACCTCGGTTTTATCCAAGTTCATCCGTAGGCCGATGCGTATAGAAGAGTCAGCCAGGTCATTCAGCATTTGTTGTAGGTCCTGCAGGGTTTCTGCCATGATGACGATGTCATCAGCAAATCGCAAGTGCAAGCAAGCAATGCGTTCGCCATTTCAATCTTGAAAATAGAAGGATCGTAATTAAAAATGTTATGCACTATAAAACTTCCAAGAACTTTCAATTGTAATTCTTACATTTATGTATTTTTTAGGTATTAAATCGTTGTATCAGGGATAATCTTAATTATTATACGTCTCCTGTAAATATTGATAGTATAAGTGATGAAGTGGTGTAGTGAATCAAGCAAAAATAGGAACTACCTTATTAATCAGTCATTATCTTCGTCGACCAGTTCATCAAATTCTAACAGAGCAAATTCAAAAAAAAAGCGCGTGGACGTGCTAAAAACCCTGCCAATGGAAGCAGAATAAGATAAAACGTAAACGCATTCAAGGCAGATAATGATGTGATTTTGTAAACCTTAACTTAAATTTGACAACAGTTTATCCTTGTCATTCTCTACACAGAATGAAAAGAAGACTCTGATGTTAAATTTAGTTTTAAGTTTAGAGAATTGTGCCAGTATTGACACCGGTATGTATATCTAGCAAAAAGTCAGAAGAATGTGCCATCCCGTT